TTTTATAAAATTTATTTTATTCGTGTTTTGAATCTTCTTTTGAACCATTTGTGAATTGGCGACTTCATTTCGAATTATACTCTTTTATGTTTTTGTAAATCACTTACTCAATTTTCATAAAACTATTAGTATATTATATAGAGTAATTTGATGTTTCATTCGAATCTGAGGAAAAAATAAAAAATAAAAATTACTGCTCCAATATGACAAAATGTTTAAAAATCTGATTATTATATTATATATATATATATATATACATGAATGTGTATATTGTTCGTAAAAGTGTATTGAAGTATATATGAAGTTTCCAATTTCACTTTATTTGAAGCTCATCAGCTATGCAAACAGTACTTTCAGTATTTTCAAACTGATTTTCAAACTTTGATTATGACATTAGAGTCTCCTTGATTGAAAGTACCCCTTTAAAATTCAACATTTTCAGGCTATACATTGAATTCAGTGATAAAAAACTCCTAAACTGAATTTCACGATAATCAAATTAAAAAAAAATTTGATACATTGATCTCGAAGACCGTTAAAAAACATGGTCGTTTAAAAATTTTTTTATTTATAAAAAAACTCCGATCTTCAAAGGATTAATATTCAAATTTTTACATTTTCCTTTAAACCTCGGAAGGCGAATGGCTTTCGATGGACAAACGAAACAAATGCAGGATCATTTTGACCCATAATATAATTTCTACTGCAAACTAGTTTTGAGAAGGAATTATACATAAAAACGCATTTTGTGTGTGAACAATATATATTTTACCTCTTTTTAGTATTCTGTACACTCGATATATGAGATAAGTATATTTTTTGTATATATGACTTTTACAAATAAATTTATTACAATTTTAACATCTTGTATTGTATTTCGCATCATTATCGACACAAACACAACACCGTGATAATTTTTCATTAACTACTGTTACCGCATTCCGAGTTGTCTTATTGCTCGGATCAAAGTGACTGCATTCGTCGTACGAAGATTAATTATACGTATAAATTCAAGTCTATGATTTGACTCTTCAGTCTTTTAAGTCTTTGAATCTGTAAAAAAATGTTTAAATATTTCAGAAAATAAAATTTAAAAAATTTTTTTCTCTCTTTCTCTTGCAGGAAACTAAAGTTTCTCAATTTATTACCATTCTTTGAAATTTCTTGAAGATTACTATCCCGCCGAGAATGAAGAATAAGAATGGACCGAAAGTTTTCTTGACATGCGTGTATTGAGGAAACTTTACCTATGTACTTATTCTAGTATAAAACTAGATACTCACGTAACCACGGATGACATCCATCGTCGTGGCACGAATTAACGAATTCGTGTCGTTCAATTAAACGCATTTCTCATGATGTCATCGAACGATAAACTAGCGCACACTTACAGACATTGTCTGCGATTAACTGTACCAACAAGATGTACATCGAATATATTATTAATTAATCATAACTTTCTGAGACGCACAAATCGTTCCTGAACAATGTTTGCAAACCTGTAGTAGATTTTGTGTCATGTCTGAATGGATATCCATGGATATCCGCGAAACACGCGATATGGATCGGAGTTATTTAGAACGAAGCTGGGCGGCGACTGGAGCATGTCTGGCTTGGTTTATCTTGGAATATAAGTAAATTGACCTGACGACAAGTTGACGTCACTAATTAAAGCTCGTTGGAAGGCAAGCATACCGCAGGGTCGCGTGAAATTCGAGAGTCGACAGCTCACTTTTCCCTCGTTTTTTATCGACAATTTCTTCTTCCTTCCTTTTTTAATTATGAACACGTTACTGTTAATCGCGATTTATTTTGCAGAAGTATCCGGTATCTGCGCTTGTCGAATATATTAATGAAATTCGACAAAATTTATGATCTATCTATCCGTAATAACTTCATGACGGAAGAATACATATTTCGTTAATTTCACAATCACAAAATAAAGAGAATAACTCAGGGTATAACTATATAGTGCACGAGGAAATAACTGCAGGATAAATAATTATGTACGAATCAATCAATTAACATAAATTTGATAACTAGTCGATTTTCGTGATTCTCAGGCTTTTTCTTATTTCTTTCAAAATAATGTATTGCAGTAATTTATCGATTTTTATTACATACTTAATTATTATTAAAAATAAATAATCAAGTATACTCCTCATATATTAATAACACATTCTTATATATATATATATGAAGTATAGTACATTAAAACAGAAATATAAGCATATAAAATAGCTTTCGATATAAAAACATGAAATTATAATCTCATAGAAGCAACAGAATATTTAATTATGTTATTTAATTTTTAATATTCTTCGAAAATATAATATATATTCTACATCCGTAATGAATAAAAAATATAATTAACTTCATTAATTCTAGAATCAAAACAAACATAATTTCTATATAAATCACGATAGATACTAAACAATAGGAAATGTGTATCATATTCGTTACATCATTAATACATTAAGTCACACGAAAGCACGTGCAGCCATTTATTTCAATCACATCAAAATTCATTAGAGCTTTCACATTTAATAGCACCAACTAGTTGCTCACTTTTCCAACGGTCAAGAAGACACGTATCGGATGAACAAATTTCAACGGCGAAACTTCATTTGCGGATCGATCAATTAAAGATGAAGAAAAAAAGAAGTATTCGCTCTCGAGCTGCGCGCGATCGCAGTTGCAGTTAACATGTTAGCTGCAATTACCAAGCCAGCGCGAACAAATGTGCCCAATTACGCAAAGAGCAGTGTGAACAGCCAGTCTCGAAGAGTGTTGGCCAACGAACAACCCACAGCAGTGCCAATTAGTAATCGCATTCTTTTCGAACAATTCGCACGTGACTTCTTTTGCTGCTCGGATGCTTCAGATAACATAATTGATCGTATATTACCGACATAATTAATCGAATTCCACGTGTACGCTTATTCGAGATCTTTAATAATGAACTTTCCACGATATATTCGGATTGATAGAATTTTTGTATGTACGCACGCATGCGTACGCGCGCGCGCGCGTGTGTGTGTGTGTGTTTGTGTGTGTGTGTGTGTGTGTGTGTGTGTAAGCAATAAAATAACTTAATAAATCATTACTTTAAATAGCGCCATTACGGTCTGAATGTTAAGATATTGAACTGTTATATAACTGAATTAATTTGAGAAATGATAATTATGTGCCGATATGATTGCCGGACTTTCAACGCAATCAATCTGAAATATTAATAATCCCCCCAAATTTCTCAAATTAGTTTCTAAAAAACTGTAATAAACTTGTTGCGAAAAATGCACAGAATGCAACAGACGGGGTTCGACTGCCGGCCGAGGCAATATTTTTCACAATAAGTTTATTACAGTTTTTTAAGGTTAATTTGGGAAATTTGAGGGGATTATTAATATTTCAAATCGATTGCGTTGAAAATCCGACAACCATATCGGCACGTAATTATCATTTCTGAAATTAATTCATTTATATGAATATATATTTATAATAGTTCAACATCTTAACATCTTCAGCGCCGTAGTGGCGCTTCGTATTTAAAGTAATGTATTTGACATGAACGGTTTTGTTTCCAATCTTATTGTTAAGAATAATTATTCTTACGATTATTACTAAACAGAATTTGTTAAATAAAATTTCTGAAGAAAGTAAATAAGTAATGAGCGAGCAAGTAATATAAACTCTTTTCATTTTGAGAAGCATGAGAGAAAAAATTGTTAAATCTTTGTAAATATAAATTTTCTTATTTTAAAAAGAAAAATCAATATTTTCAATCATCAATATTTCACTTAAAATTAATTGTAAAATATCTTATATACATTAGAGCTTATTATTGATTTATGTCATTCCAATCGACATTCCTGACATCGTATTAAATATCGTATTTAATATCATCGTTCAATGTGATAATGTTTTAATTTATATAATACATTACATGTGTAAAAGAGTTGGGTTAAAAAGCAGACATCGTGTTTGTATTTGTTTGTCGTTTATTCGCATCGCGTTTATTGATGATACGTTATTGATAGTACGTTTCAAAATAGATAAACATCCCAGATAACATTTATGTTGCATAAGATATCTAAAAGACGTCTTTTAGATGTTTTATGTTTAAAAGATGTCTTTTAGATATCTTATGCAACATAAATGTTATCTGGGATGGTAGGTTTTTTATGGCTTCATTGCAAAGTATGCACAGACGAGACAGAGAAACGGACTACGTGCATAGAAAGGAAATTACGATTGATTCTGTGAGAAAAAGTGGATACGTGACAACAGACGAAGCAAAGACAAGACGGGAAACATACCAGTTATTTAGGACGAACAATGATCGCATTATTAAGGCATGCAAGTCCTCTTAGTTTTTAAGAAACGAAATAAGCAGAAAAAGCATGCGGCTGTATGTCAAATTAAAGGCAGGAATGTTATTCTAAAATTAAGTTTAATTTTTAGTAAAAAAGGACTTCAATAAATATGTATTTAAGATAAATGAAAAAATCTCGAAACATGTATAAACACATTCAAAATTATATATTCATGCAAATATATATATTATAATACAATATATATTACAATCTTAATTTGAAATCAAGATATACAGAGACAAAATATGAAATTTTAGATGCTAATTTGTGAGATGTTGAAGAGATAGCAGAAAAGCATTGTTATCCACGTCACAAAACGAATCTCTTTGCCAATTTAATTCAATCCACTACAAACCCCTTTTGTCGCCTGTTCTCTTATCTTTTATCTTCGTCGTATTCCTTTCACGTCGTCTTACCGCGACTTCGAAAGCAGCGGAACAATTAATTTCGTCCTTTAACTAACGAAACAGCGGTGACATCAAGGAAAGGAGGCTCGAATTAATCTTCGTATTATACTTTGCGATGCAAATTCAGCATGTGTATGTTCTTTTATGTGCAAATATTGTGAACGTTAATTAAGACCTTTACGAAAAATGTAGAAGGATTTAAACATAGATGAGCAACAGGATAAAGAAAATAGCCATTACACACCAACGGAACATCGATGTATTAGAGAGTGACATCAATGCGCATTAGCAGACCATAAAAAGAAAAAAGAACAAACCTTGTTGTGCGACTTGAACATACAGGCAGTCCCGGCGAATAGCTGCGTCCAAAGGAAAGATACAAATCGATTACTAATCGCATTTACTTTTTCCTGAGAAATCCAGAGAGATCGAGATCGTCGGATCTTTCTGGATTGTACTTTTTCTTAGCTATCGTAAGGAAAATTTATTAATTACTATAATCAGTAAAAGTTATTTATTAATTATCATAATTAGTAAAAGTTATATTAAAATAAAATATTATTTGATAGATATAAGATAATTAATCCTCAACTACATGTCTCGTTTTAGAATCTTAATTTACATGTCTGAGTCCAAATCATCTACGTTTTTGACTGGCTATGTATATGTATATATTATCACAAATCTCAATGAAAAACTTTTTTTTTTCTAATGAAATGCCAGAATGTATAGAATCGAGATATCAAAACATAAAAAGGTGATAATTGAAAAAACTATGTTAAAAAAGTATTAAAGAATAATTTGTGAAAAGAGTACAATAATCAGTTTTCTTCAAAAAATCATATCTTTATGACAAAAAAATATAAAAATAAGTAGTGTTTTGAAAAGAGGAAACCGTGAACTTTAAGAAAAAAAAAAAACGTTATATTGATTCATTCTAAAAAGTATAATTATTTGCACGACTGTGAAGTGAGAACATTTTTAAACATGCTCGGAAAAATGATATCGGATGTATCGGTATATCGGTATGTCGTATTTTCTTTTTAAAAAAAATGCAATGAAAATATTTTTTATCAAATATATAATGATTTCGATATTATTTACTCATGATTTTATAACTCCGAGAAAATAGAGCGATCGTTTCATCTAAGACGTCTCTCTCGTAAAAATGTTTTTCTTGACAATGAATATATATTTTAATTAGAATTAATAAGAAGAGACAACATATACTTGAATACAGCACTAATAAACAGAACTAATAAACTTATTAAAAATGAATTTTTACTTTCGGCAAAAATCTGTCGAATTTACATTTGGCAAGTTCAAGTCACTCAAGCCAAACTTTTATTGCATCACAATTAGCGTCAAGACAACAATGAAACGACATTGCATGACGGCGATCGATAGAGAAAGGTTCCAAGTTTTTTTACTCCCTTACTTCAACTCTGTAATATTAATCTTATAAAAATAACGGCAGACTAAAATTTTCCCAGCCAGGTGTAAATGACCCATTCATGTAATTGAGAATTAATAATGAATAATTGTACAAATAAATGCTGTAGCGCAATTTTGCATTCAATGTCATTGTTTCATAATTGTATATTAAGGATTCAAACTACTTTGTTCGAGTAAAATTAATTGGACATCATTACGTTAATTATCAATTTTTGTCTTTATACGGTGTATAAATTGTAATATTATTTTACGATACATCATAAAAATATATATTTCATCGCGTTTCCAGTTACATACATGTTAACAGCATTATAAGATAAATAAATGGCTTATTAATTTAATTTTTATCATTCCGATACAAATTGATTGTACCATCATCAACATCGTATAAAAGTACGTGTCTAATTATATAAAATTAATGTGTTTAATTAATAATTAGGATATATTAAATTGCGCGGTTTTCGGCGGGGGGGAGAATTTTTTCGGTCAGGGGAACGAATTGTGTGAGAAATACATTGGATGCTGAATCGCTTTGTGAAAAAGTGCGACGACCACAAGAAGTTTTCGCGCTGCGATAATTGCGGAACCGTTACAAAGAGTCAAAAATGAAGAACGCGCGCTGTTCCCCCGAAAATGAGTTATGACTGTCTTGCGAAATTCTCTTTCAGGCCTTCATTAACCGTTTTGTTTTTATGCTGGCGCGCGCGTAACATACGTCCGACGAAATTCATTTGACGTGCGCTATGAATGCGCATATTCTCTGCGTACACTTTGCGTGCGTGCTATGGAAACGCGCAGGTCCGACATTAATCGCTAGCCTTTAATTCGACGCAATAAAACACAGTGAAATGATTTAATGTGCCGCCGGCATCACCGAAGGCGAAAAAGTATTACATCTTAAGTATCTACTGTCGGCGTTAGTATAATGCGCGGCGTCGCTCCTAGCGATGAAATGAAAGCTTTAAGGATCATTATAATTAACCGTCCACCAGCTTCTCGTAATTTATGGTTTGCAACGTCATTGTCCTTGTCTATATTTTTTATAAGTTGGCTTGGGAGAAAAAGACTTTTAGAAATCCTTCAGAATTTTTTTTTTTTAGAGTGGTTTACTTTTTCCTATTCGTGTAATATTTAATATTTAATATTTAATATTATTTAATTTTTAAATATTTAATATTTAGTATTTAATATTTATGAAGTATATTTGCCATATTTTTATAAGAATAAATAATGATATAAGGATTATTACTTAAAACTGTTCTAAAATAATAATAGCAATAATGTTTTACATTATGTACTGTATTACAAAAACTAAATAAACAGAATGACGCTAGGTGTACTATTACATAACCGTTTACATTCAGAGTACGACATGCTCGTTAGATTGTGAAACGTGATCGAAGAGAGCGATTCGTCTCGTAAAATTTAATTCGATTCAGAATGACCTTCATAGGCATGTTTAGACTGCTAGAACTGTTCCGCGTTCGATTCATATCGATCAATCTCGATTCAATCTGATTATGTGCTTGGCACGTATGCTCCCTTTTCTCCGGTTATCGATCTAGCGATACCGCTAAAATCGATTCGCGTCCCGGAAATGTCTCTCAGGATAATAATAGGACATGCACGCTACCATTTATCGTGCCGGACTTTCTTGCCCATCCACTGCCTATTCTTACGCCATCATTCTTGACGTCAACTAATTGAAAAAGTTTCGTCGAATAACGGGTATCTTGCATTGACAAAGGAGCAAATAAAAAAGAGAAATGTTTCTCTCAAGATATTCTAGTTTTAACGCGAGCTGCTTTATAGAATACCGTCCACTAAACGGTTGAAGCAAAAAAAGTTTTAATACAGTACTTTTTGTACTTGCTGTACAATCTACATACTTTTGGAATAAAGAAACGAAAGTGAAACAGCAAGTCTGAAAAGCACGTTGTGCAAATTGTAAGCATCGCCTTTTTAGTTCTGTAACATCTGCAATTTGGACGAGTCGCGATAGTTCCAAAGCACTTTGCAAACTAGAGAGTCGCGACGTTTGTACATACAAGCGCTAAAATGTTATCTCATGAAAACACGTACTTAGCATCAGGATGCTTGCGACCAAACTTCATGTTTACAGCGCATTGTAAAATCGCCCGACGCTCGTAAGCCACGGGAGATCGTCGTGTGCTTCTGACGGCATATTTGTCCAGCGCAGCTTTTATCGTTAAACTTTTTTTCCCCTTCTGTCGCTACTGCAGTTCGGGTCATCACGATCCATTTTCTTTCGAGAGAGAAAGGAGGAAGAGAGAAAAAGAGAGAGAATAACAACCCTCTGGCTCGAAAGTGAAAAGTTTGCTGTGGAATGCTTATGTATTTATTGAAAGCTTCGTGTATACGTCGCACGACAAACTTCCTGAAAGGAGGGAGAGCTTTTGAAAAGAACAGACAAAGGGCGACGAGGTAAAAAGAAAAAGATAGCTGTAGGGCTGCGTGAATTCCTAACGAGGTGCTACTTCACTAGCAGCTCGGAGAAGTGGAGCAACTGGTAAATTTCTCGCTCGTGCGACTTTCTAAATAAAGCCAATAAACAAGTAGTATCGACTGATAACAAGAGCAGATCTCTTTATAAGCAAACGACACACTTTTTTCGTAAAAGGTATATTTCTATATACTCTCGTATCGATAGATCGATATAGAAGAAATAATAGATATACTGTTAATATTTTCGTTATTTTATTTTATTAATCACTTTTATTATACGTAAATTAAATAGCATCTGATAAATCGAAGTTTTAAAGATATGTTCCAATGCACTTAAAGAATGCTGCCAAAATTATTTCTGTTAATTGTAAATTTTTGCAGATGATATTTTTTCTAGAATTGTATGTATATACAAATAGATTTATGATAAATCTCTGAAATTCTTTACAAGGTGAAAAATTAATCAAGTCTTTTATAGATTGATATTCTTGTTATCTTCAGAACTGTCAAGTTGAACAAACTTTTTTACTCGTTGCACATCATTTACGCAACTAAGGATAGGTCTCATTAAAAAGCGCTACGTGTTACTTTGAATTTCTGAAGAGTAACATCGAGTAACAAAAAAACGGGGCAAGTTGAGAGACTAACTGTCGCCTCATTACGTCTTTTCAACTTTGCCCTATAAAATCCACATTTTTAAAGCATTTTTATTTTTAATAGAGGTTTACAAAGGAAAATTGAAAAAGACAATTATATTACAAATAAAATTAACTTGAAAATGATTAAAATTTTTGTACAATTTTTATTAATCAATTTGATAACTTTCATGAAAAAATTCTAAACAATGACAGCAATCTAAAAAATAAAACGAAAATTATTTTATTTCTATTCACAAAGCACACAATGCAGCTCCAGTTTTTTTGCGTGCACAATGTTTATGAAATAAATGTACAAAATGCTCGTAGAAGCTATTTTTCCGGCGTTATAACGCTAAACAAAGAAAAAAAATGCGCGAATAGAATATCGACTTTCCTATCAGCTCGATAATACCTCATCCAGCTTATTTTTACTCCCTCGTTCGCCGATGGGATGCTCGAAGCCTTATATAAATGCACCCTATTGCTACCGTTTCTGTATAGGCACCCCTCGATTCTCTCTCTTCTCGAACCACGAAATACCGTGACCTGATCTTTCACGCGGGATCTAACAGTTAAGCTTTCGACTGTGAATTCTCTTTGGTACACACCGCTGGCATTAAGCCGAAGAGATTATTGCGTAACGTTCTATCTCATTCGGCGTGCTTCCTCTAAGACCGAAGGATTTAATGTTCTTAATAATGCAGTTAGCAGTGAATAATATAGTAAAGAGATTATTAGACGGACGTTTAATGTCGTTTAATCGACAACGAATGTGACAAATTATTAGAAGCGATAAAAAC